ACTCGGTGCATGTCCTTGAACCTTCTTCTTCGTCTTCTTTGGGGGATGATGAGAACGATAATTCCAATATATTTTATGAAAGAATGCATGAAAAACTTTTTCCTTGTACTCGCTTGGTAGGAAAATACGTCTTCTTTAAAGGTTTTACCTAAAGGAAGGGTGTTTTTCAGTTTTCAAAAAGTTTCTTATTTGCTGAATAATGTTGCAACCTGCCGACGGTAGCACCTGAATTCAAGGTTTACAGATTGCGCGCTGTGCACATCCTGTTTAAGGGAAAGTACGTTTTTGCCTAAGTTTTGCGAAGGGAGTCACATAGTTCTCATAAAATGTTGTAGTAGATGTGGATCATGATGTATACACTATGGACAGTATGACGTATACGATGTATTATGAATGAATACCTCGCAATCGTAAATCTACCTAGAAAGCGGCAAGATCGAACGGGGTCTGTTCGTTGCATAGACAGCCAAGATTAGCTAACCTACAATACTGGGGAGGGGGATTATTTACTAATCCTAGGGAGACTATACACAGCCTGCTTTTAAGTAGGCGAGCTAGCGTTGGTCAATAATAAATACTCACTGTTAATCTTCTGAGTCTAAGTATTTCAAATGTCGGCAGAGCTCAGTATTCAGATAACATAGTACTTCAATCCACTATCTCACAACTGCGATACCCTGTATTGCTGTCATTGAATAAATACTCTCCCGCATAAGCAACCCGGAATATCAACTCAATACAAAGCTGGCTCGATGGTATAAAATTGTTCAAGGTCTATCATAACTGCGAAGGTGACTAACCTGTACCCGCGTGAGACCATGTGTTATTGATTAAAAAGAAGACGGTTATTGGAACGAGCGAATTATCGCCGGAAAAGGTGATGTAATCCAGTTCCTTGCTCATGGTGCCGTTGATAATAGCAATGGCCATATCCGAAGACTCTACAAAACAGTAAATGAAAATTAGCAGACTAGTAACGCATGGTTCAATCCATCCTGAACCTCTCAACGAGGAATTATTTTTTGATTCACGCAACATTTTCTATTTCAGCCTGCTCTTGAACAATCTGATAAAACTAGAAATTTTAACCTGAACCTATGGAACTTGGTAGGCAGCACTGGGACTGAGACTTACGTTTCACATGATGCATTTATTGTTATTGGTTGGTCAGATTTGGGAAGGCCTACCGTTGCCCCAACAGGCTTGATGTGCTGGGGCGGAGCCATGTGCCATCACTGATTTGCAGGGCATAAAAGCAAACCTCAGAAGAAGCCTTTGCGGTCCACCAGTCTGGCTCGCCACACAAACGCGCACACTGGGCTGACTATGAGGTGCGAGGTAGCAACTTGGTTTGCAACTTTCGCAACTAGGGCTTTTAGAGAATGGTGGATTCTAGATGATTGCTTAGGAAATCCTGCCTGGGCAGTCAGCTTACTGTATCCGTAGTTGTGGATCTCATACTGCACTAGGCAGGGTGGTGGGTAAATTGACGCCAATGTCATTAAATTCACGGCTTTTGGCCTGCCTCCGTAGCTCAGTGCTAGAGCGTTGGAGGTACTATAGCCTTCCCTACTGTGTGGGTTTTAGTCTTACCGAGGCCAAGCATTTTCCACAATTCGGTCAATTGAACTATTTAGGTCTGCCAAAACCTCGTAATATTAAGGTTGTGCGTATAATGGAAAAGAGGGTGACATCGAGTTTGGGCAATTCGAAATCACTATTAACCACTTCGTGGGAAAATCGCAGATGCCTCCTTTAAACCTTGGAAGCACGCGATGACTATAGTCTCTGGCGACGCTGCCCCTGTGGGCGTAAACTACTTTGGTCATATGTGTTTCTGGGATGACGCGAATAGGCCGATTCCTGAATGGTCATTTTACTGAATGTGAGTTTTTGAATTGATCTTCGAATATCCTAAATCCTGCTATAGTTGGAAAAGCAAAGGGACATAGTAAAAAAACCTTAACTTGCATTGAATACACTATAAAGTACGAAATTGCGTGGGCATTTGGGAATAAAAGTAAGTGCACGTTACCCTGGATAATGCGGCAGTTGAAGAGGGGACAGGAGCAATCTTGATCCGAAATTGTCAGCTCATTTTTGCCGTAGGTGAACTTCTGCAAGGCAGGACGACAGAAACCACATCGTTACAACGCAGTAACTGATTCGACAATAAAAAGGGATGTACTGCGTTTACGCAGCCAGATAAGATTTTTAGCGGTTTTATTTATGATTTCTCTGATTTGTAAGTATATTTTGACGGTTTGATATTAATACTGATCCATGCAATAAATTAATTAATTCATGGAGCTTAAGGAGTGAAACCTAAGTGATCGGTTTTATGTAACTCTCGTTTTCTGCACTTCCCTTTTTGGTTCACCACGGGCATACTCCTCGCAGCCATTCGTTTCAAGCGTTCATTTACGTTGGAAAAGAAGTGAAATTGTTGAATGGAGTATAGATATGTGGCCAAACTGGTGCGTCTCAAAGGCTTTCAAGAACTGTTTTGGTTTCAAGGGAGTAGCCTGATATCGAAGAAATTTCCTATGCCGCTAAGTATGACAGAATCAAACCTTTTATTAAAATGCATTATGCTATAGAAAAAACCCAAAATAAGTAAGAAAAGTTTAAAACCCATCCCTTCCCGAACCGAGGAATGTACGCCGACGTTTCCCACATGCAGCTGAAGCCAATTATAAGGAATCGCATTTATTTTCAGAAACGTCGACCAAATTCAGTTTTAACAATTAGTTTTTTGCATACAGGGGCATTGCTCAGCTGCATATATAATTAAAGTGCTTTTTAAAGAGGTAACCTATTATATAAATGCTATTAATGTTCGGTTTAACACCAATAAACTTCTGTTGCGGACAATTTTTGCCCGACAATGTGTTTTGCTGTTTGAAGGAATTTCTAAATATGGCCATCATGACCACCTCCATAAGAACTAATATGCAAAAACTTATTTTTGGTAAATGTTTTTGATAAATATCATATTTAAAGGTTTTGTTATAAACATCAAATGGAATTTGAATTTATGGAAGAAAGCTTGAAGACAATGAAAACGGAATTCAAAGGATGATATGAAATAAACTGCACTCCAATAGCGGTTGTTTGCATAAAAACTTTTGACTAAGGAAAGTTTATTTCGATATAAAGAAGGTGGTGTGGATATGACTTAAGCCGACGTTAAGATTTAAATGTATTGTTATAACTTATAACTATTTTTACGTCTTCAAAAATTAATGGTCTTTAAGAAAATTTAATTTTTCACACCAAACAGTTAGTACGTCTTTAGCAGTAACAGATTTGCCTAAAATTGTTTATTATTATTTCTAATTATTCGTACATACGTTGATGCCGGTATGCAAGTATTGATCAATCTTTCAAAAATTTCGGTATTTTGCCTACAGCCCTCACCATACTGTATGTGGTACTAGTATGTCATCAGCGTTTGTAACTGAGGCCTTACTTATTCCACAATTATAAAATTTAACAATATATTGTGCGTTCAGATACGCCTGTGAGGATCCGACAATTATAAAAGCACATCAACCAAATATAGCAAACAGTTGAGCATCGGAAACGACGAAAGTTTTCAATAAAAATTATACGTAGCAGGTTTGTAGATCAGCACTGACTTACTGTATACACACCCGGAAGAGACACTTTGGTAGAGAAGTGTGATCCGATCAAACCGTTCACAATTCGAGTTTCGTCCGCTAGCAGCTTGTAGGCTGCACCTTTAAAGCGCAGAAAATATGTTTAATTCTAAGAAGGGTGCAAACATACCGTACATGTAAAAACAGCCGAATCTGGTACCAACAAGTAGGCATCATGTTGGTGTTATTAGGCCATTTTGCAGTGTTCTAGTACTATTAAAAGTACATACAAAACTGAATAATATTCTCGTTAAAATTGTTAATATCTCCTCGAACAAGGTTTGGTCTTATACTCCACGGCCTTTATCAACGACCGTTCTCAGTACAAGAGAACCGCTGATTTTCATATATGTCACTTGCATATTGTAACCCAGAATAGATCTACACTAGTAACAGCATCGTCTCCAATCATTCGATTTCATCAAATGATCCATCGTGACTACCACGGAATCCACCAGTAGACTTTTATTGGCCACATTTAGGCCTACTATTTCAAAATATTACAATGTCTTAAATACTGATTTTTTTGCTTTGGCAAAAACGACATATCTCCGAGACCATCCATACAAACTGAAGGAACATCATGCTAAACTAGAAGTGTGGGCCAATTTCTTTTCCTACTGGATCATTGAAGACTAGAACAAACTACCTCCTTCAGTTGTTCTTGCTAAAAGCGTTGACATATTTAAAGGAACACTTGATAAAACTTTACGTGATGGTCATACATTTGGTAGAGACCAACGATTGATATACTGTGCATTGATGGCTCTAAAACATGTTCATGATTTGTCAGAATATATCTGTAAACAGGATTTTCAAAGGCCCTGCCTATCTCCCTTATATATACTGAATATTACGGAATTACACCAAGAGTCTTCGGCCTATACACTGGTCAATTTCACCTTCTACTAAAGACCACAGACTAATCGCATGGCGCCATCGAATCTGCCGGGGCGGGCTTGGGTTGAGGTGAAGTATATTTGCGGGTATTGCAGGAGTAGCTGAGTGTGATTGGGCGCTAGCATTTCCTTATCTGTCGCTCCGTCTGCAATACATTTCTACACGTCCCATTCCACTGCCATGCTGGTCTTACGTCCCACTTGCATTCGGTATGCCTGTGATTTCGTCTGATCCAGCCAGCCTGGATAATGTTACCGATCATATCGTTTGGCGATCCGTCGGATTCCAGTTGAACAGTTCAACCTTTCCTCGCATTCGACCACGAGGACGGAATACGGAATGTCGAAAAACCACTTTCATGTTGGGTGACAGGCGTGAGGACGCAGAGTGTCATCGTCCCGTGACGGCGTGGGTGGCCTGGGGATGCTTGCTGTCGCTGCCTCGTCACCATATCGCGGCGTGGTTGGAAGCATAAGGACGGATGATGAGCTGGTCTTCGGCCACGAAAGCCCAAGAGCAACACAGCCGAAGACCAATTCAACATCTGTCCACACTCTTCCTACCACGCCGCGAGACGGTGACGAGACAGGGACAGCAAAAATCTGTTTGTTTTCGCTTTTATCAAAGTTTTTAAATAAGCCATCAAGAGCATGATAGAGTCGACGTATTCGAAACAAAACGAGGAACTCGAGGAAGCGAAATCTAGTCGGCTGCTTAGTGCGAAGGACAAGAAAACTTTGCTCAGCAGGCAGATTTGAGGAGGAGCTCAAAAATGCAGTACCTACTTCGCGAAAATGGGTATCCTGAGAGATTTATTACAAGGAATATGGCTGCGAAAAAAATAAAACGCATCACACTTACTGTGGAAGAGAAACCACTATCCCTCAAAGTCCTCTTTCGAGGGGACGCGGCAAGTGAACTGCTAAAAAGACGCCTTGACAAAGCCGTTTCACGAACCTTCCCAGCAGCCAAAGTTCGAGTATTATTCTCAACCAACACTATCTTACACAGGGAAGACAAGGATAGGTTACCAGCTCAGACCACTTCCATGTACATCTACTCCTTTACTTGCTCCGCTGGAGCAGGTTATATTGGTTGCATGAGCCGGCGCCTATCCAAAAGAACAAAGGAACACCTCTCGGCATGGCTGAGAAAAGGGGAAGTCAAGAGGACAATCAGCTCTATTCTGACGCATGTGGTTGATTCCGGACATCGGGTGGACCCCAAAGACGCTGTCCGAGTGATCTACAAGGTCCCGCCAAATTATCCAAAGTCCCTGGGTCAGCGCCTGCTATCAACAGCAGAAGCGACCGCTATCAGGTTGATGAAGCCGGCGTTATGTGCGCAAAAGAACCTCGTGCAAGCTCCGCATCTAGCGTGGCCCGTAGTCACACATCCGTGCTCTGGTTGTCTCCCAAACATTAATGACCGCTTGTTTAAATTTTAACTCTGAAGAGAATTTATCGAAAGTGCATGTACGCTCGCCAAACTAGTCTTCTGACGGGTAAAATACATGAGAAGACGAAAACAATCGTCGTATGGTTACTTGGATACCAAGAGTAAGTTACAAAACTGACATTGTTTTTTTGCGAACTGTGAAAACAGTTACCTCTGTCATTACTTTTCGTCAATTTATGTTCATGCAGTTATTATAAGGCACAATTCAGGCAGATTTTCTTCAAGGCCAATCAGAATTTCCCAACTGGCTCAGAATTATCTTTTTCTCCATGCAGTTATAAAACGGGAAAAAATTAATAATACCTTTCAGACGATAGGTAAATGGCTGCTCTTTGTGGCACGGTCGCCTGATTCAGTTAGGCCATCGTCAGAGAACCAAAGCAAATGAGCCAAGTGAACGCTGATTAGTCCGTTTTTTCCAACTGGGGTAGAATCTTTTACTTACCCGTTGAGTAACTTTATCAAAGGAGAGCTCCCACTGAATATTGCTCAACCAAATGGTGGTCTTTCATCGCAATATTTGCTTCTTAGCAAATAAGCAAGTGACTTAAACTGGGTACACGTTAAGAGGTAAAACCTGCCACAGAAACATAAATAATTGTCGAGTGTTTGGTTACTATGTTAGGTTAATGTGAATGGATAATCAGATTTGCCATATACGGTAGACTAAGATGCTGATCCTGAAATTAAATGCATTTTAAAGGCTGTTCCAGGGACGGAGTAAATCAGCCTTTTGACAGTGTGTGACAGCGCGATTAAAGTAGAGCAAGGACATACCCGAGACTGAATTGCTTGTTGTGGTGACAGAAGTAGACGCTGTGGTGGTCGGGATGGTCGTTGTGGCGGCCGGAGTTGTCGTTGCTATAGTCGGAGTGGTCGTAGTGGTGGTCTTAGTGGTCGTGGATGTGGTCGGAGTGGATGTTGTGATGGCCGGAATGGACGTTGTGGTGTCTGAAGTGGTCGTTGTGGAACGGAGGTCTTAACGAAATGTGTAATAAACACAATGTTAATGCATCTCTGGTTTGAAGTATCGTCTTCTTATTTAAACTTCAATACGCAGAAAATCATAGGAAAGGATGCACATACCTTCCGTTGCTAAAATGAAAATAATATTTCGTGGGCGGGTAAGTGATATTCACTGAGTGAAATGAATTGAATTAAAAGTATTTTAAAAATAACAGGAAAATTCAATATTCTAGCTAGGATTTCAAACTAGAGAGTGACTGACCAACACATAACTGGCTAAACGTGACTGATGTGTCTTCATTGCCATAAGAATTAATCTGTCCATCATCTCGGTGACGGGTTGGTGCCACCTCCTGAACGGGGTTTCTGGTTCTTTAATCCCGCAGTCAACATGCTACTTCGATTTGAATTCTTAAGTGTCCATAAAATTTTCATTTTCACATAAATGGTATGTATCTCCGCAATGTGATCAACGGCCTAAAGGGAAAAAGAGGGTTTGCCGCTACTTTCGTTTCGTCCGTTAATTCGGGATCCTTTTAAATACTTTATATTTTAGATTGGACTTGTTCTAGTGTGTTCAAACTCTCGCTCGAATGCAGAACCGAGAGCGTACAGTTTTTCGTTAGACCTCAATTACGGTGTGGGGTTAATTTAAATGAGGATTTCCTTTGCCTTCTCCACACAAGATAGAAATCTGTAAGATCGGTAGCCACTTCTACAATATCTCTTTCCTCATCCACGACCATGCTGAAGTGTGTTGCACGATCAGAGTGTCACATCTACTCTCCCCTCTACTAATCGCCTTGTGGACCGCCTGCTTGAATACTGCGAACAGATTCCGCAGTGAGACTACTTCCGCGTGATTGATTTACAACAGTCTGACCACCC